CTGCTCTCAAGGAAGTTCGGTTCATGTGGCCATTCATTAGAGTCGAGCAACATAGAGACACCTGTGTGCCTACAGTGGAAGGTTTGCCCAAAGGAAAGTTGTGTTCTTGCTGGCCAGCTTCGTGATTCAGTCACTACATGAGCTCGGAACAACACCCGGCCTGCTCATGTCCACCCAACCATGCTAGGTTTACATGTCTCTTGAGGACTTGGGACATCCCACATTGGAATACTCATTCCGAGACAATACATGAGGCCTAGTGAGTTTTTGGAGCTGGGTTCTAGACAGAATGATGAAGAGTGCGTCCAAATCGAGGGCATACGGCTGCAGCTAGTTCGAGTCGGTCTGAAGGAAAACCAGGTTCTATCCACTGTCTGCATCAGTCAGCTCCATGGCCAACTGTCGAAAACATCAAAACAGCACCAGCTGCCACACCGACAATAGTCCACTCAGGGCATCAGTTTCAAAGCAAGCGCATCAAGTAACTATTGCAAAGGCAACTGCCAAACCGACTGCCAAAGCGATATTTGTATGAATTCTACAGTGTAAGTAGAATGCATCTGATTGGCATGAAACCAGGGAAAGCCTTCCAAGCACGACAACCAGACTGACGCCACATGTATTGTTTGCGGATCAAGCTGCCATGCGGCTGCATTTTAGCTGCACGTCTTGTGCATGCGTTAGGTTGAGGATGTGATTGCTGATGTGGATGTGGTTCTCTGCGCGCATGACAAGGTTCAAGCGCCAACACCAACAAAGCCAGAAAGTAAAGCCACGCTTTGGGCTGACCACCAAGTGGACTCCAGCTCTCGCAAGGGACAATGCCGTGACTCGGACAGAAACAATCTGCTCAGCCCTGATTGTTCATTCAATTCATTGTTAGTAGAGGCTCACACTTTGTTGAGGAGCTTATGATGAGTTATTTTTTTCGTGACCGTAATCATCCAAACCGTGCTACTTTTCCCCTGAAGTCCATTTGGTCATGGGGGCGGTCCCATGACTGACCGAAAGGTTACCATATTTTACAGGGTGCATTCACAAACCTTACTCTCGCAATATGTATGGCATATTCACTCGTGTACAGTATAGAATACCGTGCCCTTCTTGCCACGTCCTACAGCTTTGTTCCTGCTGTTCCATCTTGCGAGAAACAAATCATCGCCAGCGATCACTTCTCAGAATAATATAGCACAACAAAGTGTTCAAGTTAAAAACATGGCGGGAAGGTTTGTCAAATTGATAAGCAGGTTGGTAAGTTCACACATGTACCAACACACACACACACTTATGGAAATGCGTACTGACTTGACAGCGGTGCCACACGCCAGCCTAAGAAACCGAAATCCTGAAAGGTCCAGGAAAGCCCTAACGAGCCTGGGGGTCTTCAAAAGGAAATGTGGCCCAAAGCGCAAGGCGAAGCCGATCCGACAGAGTGACGGCGTTCCGTGCGTGACTGCAGCTGCATTAGCCCTTTACAAGAACGTTCAAACGTTCGAGGATAGCAGGTACGTCACGGTGATCAGCCGTGATATCCGCATGTACTGTGGCCGCTTCGTTGGACCATCGCTCACAGCACATGGATGGTCCCCCTGCTGAAAAAGGAAGAAACAATTCAACGGAATCCCTGTGATTACAAGGGGCACACACACACACGCTTCCCCGAGGGGAGGCAAAATTAAGGCTAGGACGAATGTGCGATTGTGCGCGCAGCAAGGACAAAAGGATGAAGACATGAGAAGGAAGACGAGACGGGACAAAAGTATGTGTGGTTGCGATGAAAGAGAAACCAAATGCACAGGGACAACCGATGAAACCTCGTTGCCGAAATCCGGGCGACCTGAAACCTGAGTTGGAAGTAGATGTGCGCGTACACACTAAGGCCCGGACCGTTGTACGCGCAAAAGAACGAAAGGAGTGAGATGAAAGGACATGAAGCAAGGGAAGACATGAAAAGAAAGTTAAGAGGAAAAGAAATGTGTGAGGGGGAAAGGATGAAAAGGGAACCAAATGGGGGGACGGGAGCCGATGAGCCCAGACCTCATTGCAACCACCTAGGAAGACCTGCCTCGTTAAGGTGTGTACGATGTGTGTGCACCTAAGAGTCCGATAGGTTCCAACGAACCTCAAGAGTACTTCGGTCGCTCTGACCACGTTGAGGCGTTAAGCCAGCTTGGACCGCTGCGGTCACGTAAAGGCGTAAGCCACCTTGGAATTCCAAAATTGAGACAAAAAATCTGAGTTCTCTCGGCCTAGGCCACCTTCACCCGCTGTGGGCACGTGCGTTTCCAAAGCAAGGGAAACAACGACAGACACCCGTTCGACGGGTCCACGGGAGGCACTCTACGGGCTCATCCCGGACTCTCACTGGGAGAGACACACTTGTGGATATGCGTACTGACTTGACAGCGGTGCCACACGCCAGCCTAAGAAACCCAAATCCTGAAAGGTCCAGGAAAGCCCTAACGAGCCTGGGGGTCTTCAAAAGGAAATGTGGCCCAAAGCGCAAGGCGAAGCCGATCCGACAGAGTGACGGCGTTCCGTGCGTGACTGCAGCTGCATTAGCCCTTTACAAGAACGTTCAAACGTTCGAGGATAGCAGGTACGTCACGGTGATCAGCCGTGATATCCGCATGTACTGTGGCCGCTTCGTTGGACCATCGCTCACAGCACATGGATGGTCCCCCTGCTGAAAAAAGAAGAAACAATTCAACGGAATCCCTGTGATTACAAGGGGCACACACACATGTATATATCCTTTCAAAGATTGGTTAGGCAAAAGTCTTATGAAATGTTTGGCTACATCCTCGACCACTTTTTAGAGCTTTCCTGTCTTTGGGGAAGCTCAGGTTGGACGGGTGGACATCCAATTCCATTTGGCCCAGCTTTGCATTTTGTCCGACGGCCACTGACATCAAACAGGTGTTAGCAAAGCGGGAAGCAATGGACCTGCACCTGGCATGGTCTCCCTCGGGGGGTCACCTGCCATTCAAGTTGGACTGAACCTGTGGAAAGTGTAGCCGTAGCCTCTGGAATCGGTTGAATGTCCATGAGCCGGAGACAAAGCAGCCAAGACTTTCTCTCGGGGAAACCTCCGGCTCTAAACGAACCAAAATCATCGAAAAAGCAACTGCTCCAAACTCTCGGGGGCGTCGAAAGAGAAAGCCATTGTTTCTGCAATCTGTATAGTACTATCATGTACCATCTCTAAGTCATGGAAGGCGACCGTATTATATAACACCTCTAAGGGTCAATCAGGATTCTGCTGCTGAAAGCTTCCAGGATTGTCCTTTCGGTAGAACAATGTACAGTAATTAGTAGTAGCTATAATTGATCATGGATGGCTCTTCCAATCCTTCAAACATGCCCCACTTGCAAGCAGTTGTGCGGGCGTGGATCGAGCACCACATTCTCCAAACAAATCCTCAATGAGTTCGTTTCAACTGGCGACTAGATGCAAAAGTGGTGAGGCAAACATATTAAGCTGAATCCATCAAATTCAAACATGCATTCCACATCATCAACTCGAACCACCCCCACCACGTCATTGTGCTTTTCTGGCGACGCCAAGCGCCAAGCTTTGGGCGAGGCGCCGCGAAGCACTTCGTGCCAAGCAAGGGCAAATTTTCACGAAGGGTGGTAGGCAGTAGGATGAAATTATAGGCGATTGGTCCAAGACGTTTGGATCAAGTTGTTCTACGGATAATCACGGGGCAATTTCAATGAAACAAATGTTCACAAGCTGTGCGCTGTCTGGTGCTCTATTCTTGGGAGGGCGGGAAGTGTTGAGGCAGCCGTACGTTTGGGTGAAGACAAGCACTGATTTGATGTCGACAAATGCTGCAAATACCCAAAAAGCATCTGGTCTTGCCGACAATCAAAGTAGAACTTTCTTAATTAAGCTGCATTGTAACCGTACATCATCCAGTTATATCCAATTCATGCCAGTTCTATGAAGCAATGGGTTCCTTGACAAACAGTTTCAGTTGGACCAATGATCAACACATGAAAGATCCTGAAAGGCATGCTCGCATCCCAAACACCTCAAATTCCCAATGTCCAGCGTACTTTTTCTGCACCTGTGATGCGAAAAAGGGCTCTGCTGGTGCCTTTCGTCCAGTCAAAAATCACATAAGGGGCCCTTTCAAGCCGCCGGCCCTTCCCACTTCGTCCAATTATAAATATAAAGTATATAAGTAGCAAACACCTGTCTGAAGACAGTGGACCGGGGTCTTGTTGAATGAGGGAAACATGAGAACAGCTGATGATATCTGATGCATTCGCTTGAAACGCTTGCGGCAAGGCCACAGCTGACTACAGCATCCAAAGGTGAGCAGTTTGTGGACCAGTGGAGCACTGCGGAATGACATGGAGGGGTGAGGATGTGTGAGAATGGGTGAGGTCTACAGGATCTGCGGCTTGGACAAGTCATGTGAGCTGCCTCTGAGTTTGGGAAGTCACCGGCCAAAGAGTGACCCGTCTGTGCCTAAGTGACCCTTCGACATGCCCAGAGCGAGCTCCTGAAGCTCCCCCAGCTCGCATATGACAGGCAGCTCTAGATGTGAGACGGTACTCTCTCGGATCCCAAAAGTACCGACTTCCAGATTTGTGCTGCTTGGAAAACTGATCGTACATGATTGTGCTGCATGTTTATCTTGTTTGCCCAACATCTGTAACATGAGGCATGAGCGAGAGCGCTCAAACCTGCATTCCGACATATGATATCCACCACATTCCACCACCGACAACCGTGCGCAAGCACGAACATTGAACGATGTGCGAGCGGCTACAGGCTGCCCCACGTCTTCAGCACATCAACTCAAACTCTTAAACTTGATTGCAGTCTGGTGCTTGGTGTGCTTCTTATTAACATGTCCACAGTACATACGGGATTCGATATGCTGAGCCCAACATAGCACCAGTGGATACCTGTGGCTTATGGTGCCTCTTGTGACAGTGATGCTCTTATCTCCGTTTCGCCAAGTCTAAAGTCGATTAACAATGACAAAGCCAAGAATTGTCTTTCTTTTTGGGATCCAGTCCTCATGGCATATCAGATTCACACCAGCTGAGGCTTTTGGCGAATGTCCCTCTTCCTGCCAGTGGAGATGTTCCGCTGGTAGTACTCCTTGGCGCGGGAGCGCTGCGAACGGATTTCATGCCTTCGTATGCTTTGCAACCTTTTGCCGACACGCCTCGTTCCAAGTACAAGGCGCAGGAATATGGAGGTTCTTTTTTTCTCTCCCGAACTTTGAAGCACCTATATAATATCACCTAAGACAGTTTCAGGCCATTTTGTACTTTACAGGGTCGGCCGTGACACGACCTGCACCAGATCTTCCCATCAGCCGTGGCTCGACGACATTGATCTCGTAGTTCGTTCCTCTGACAGTGACCCGAAAGGATTCTTCACCTCCGGTCTTCGCTCAAGGATGGAAAACCGAACGGCCAGAAGACGGAGGGAGTAGCAGTTCGACTGGCACTCCCTCGGACCGGGCTTGATCCGACTGTCCCCACCAAAAATCCAAGATAATCTAAGTATGATAGTTATCTGAGAGCGTAAAGCACCTTAAGTAACATGGTCCAAAACGATCACAGCTTCCACCCCCACTGCGCCTCTAGCTATGGCATCAGAGATTTCCAAAGAGATCTGGGCATCGAAGTCTATCCACCCACCTGGAAACTCGAGTTTGAGACAGGGTTGGAGCGCGCTTGGAGGTCCATGCGGCTTGATGTCTGACCAGGCTTCAAATGCCCAGCATTTTGTGAGTTTGTGGGTGCTATCCTCCCCAGCATGTCCTCAAGGAGTCAAGCAAACCCCTCTCATCGCTCACCCTTTCAACCCTACAAGGCACAACAAATCGGGTTGGCAACATGGGCCCACAACCCATGTCGCCCTATGTATTGTAAGAGTTAATTTTCTTCTAATAGTTCGGGGTCTTTGGGGTTCAAAGATTTTAGCAATGTGTTCGCCTTCTTCTACCTCATCCTTTTGAGTTGGTGAATCGGCTTCTAGTGAGCCGAAGGGGTCATCGATGACCGATTGCAAACTCGACCCCGCCTGCAGGCCCGGCTTTGACCTGCCAAACTTCGCCAAGAAAGTCGGCACCAACCTCGGCATTCCATTCGGTGCCGTTCAAACCAAACCAACTGATACGATGAACAACGTGAGTGTATACGTACGCAATGAAACTTTGTGAGAAATAGTACGTGCCTCATAGTGGGTTCGTCCCCATTTTTTGTGGCAAACTGCGGAACAAATGGCAACTCTGACTCACTCAGGCGCTTGCAACCTGAGGTGCGGCTTCATCGGAATCCGCTTCTGCCCGCACAGGACTGGGCGGAAGCAAGGAAACAATTCTCCCAACACCCAAAACGGCACCTCTCCAACTCCAACGTGCTCATCCAAGGGTCAGCCAAAAAATGGCGCGATTGTGAAACATCATATAACACGACTTGTGGGAACACGGCCACGCCACACCTCACACATTGTGAAACCAACTCCTAGGACGCCACTCGGAGCAAAGGGCATCGCTACGAACAAGGACGCTACTAGGAGCAAGGACGGTTTTAGTAGGACTTTAATGTTGTCCTGCTTGAAAAGTTGCTAATTACCTTAAGGGTGGACAATTACTCTAAGATGCCTCAGACTCAGGGTGTTGTGGCTGCATATGTATATATATAAACACATTTAACAGTCGGTGAAACGTGGCCCACATATGACATATTATAAAAGGCATACAGGAAGGTTGGAAGATAAGGGCTTGATGAACATCTTGCCAAGTGCGTTCTATCAAAGTAATGGCCCCAACTCAAATAGAACAAGATTGATCAAAATTGGAGTGCATGTGTTGTACAATGTTGTACAATGTTGGGAATGTCTGCTGTGTCAAGGGTCCGCTGTTGGGGGTGGAATCGGTGGTGTCGGCATGTGTCTGCCAATGTGAGATTGGATGGGATTGCCTGTGGAGTGAGTGTCAATGGTGAGGGTAGTGGTGGAGTGGGTGAGTTGCCACTTGGTACGAAGGCTGGAGACTGCGTCAATGAGTCGCGCTTGGGGTACGCTAAAACGAAGAAGCCGACAAACTCGTCATTGATCGCTGTGAAATGGACGTCAAGAGCACACATTGATCCCATTTGCTGTTCGGAGCCCCGGGCGAACACAGGAGTTACGCTGCCTACTATCTGCACACTTATCTGCACATCGATGCCGTGCTACGCCCTACGCCTTCGATCTGCACTTGTCTCCTGCGCTTTTGATCTGTCCTACGCTTTTCGCCATGACAGTCTCCAGCTCACAAGCTTCACTTAAGGCATCCGTCACTGATTCCGCCGAAACATGTTGAAACCCTGTTCAAACAAGTCGAAACGGGCTCAAACCATCTATATATATATAGGAATCTAGTGCCACGCCACAGAACCACAAGAAAATACACGGCCACCACTACGGCCACCGCTGTCAAAGGGAACCTGAACGCGCTAAGCAAGCAAGCGCTAAGCAAGCAGTCACTGACCACTGCCAAGGCCCGACCAAGGCATTGACCTTTACAGGAGACCTTCAATGCACTTTGAACATACTGCAAGTCCGGAAATGCGGACGGCACCAGTGTGAGGCAGAGCCCACTCGGACACGCATGTCCATGCGAGACCCGTCGTCGCAAACGCATACTTTGGCCGACAGGTGCCCAGGGATCAATCAGCACACCACCACAACCACCACCAACAACAAGCAACCAACATCAAAGGATTAATAAAACTATTTAAGCAACGATACAATACAATGACAACACCAAAACAAACAAAAAGCGAGGCCGGACTGGACCGGACCAATGGCCTTCTTCTCGCACTTTCATCTTCATAGTAGTCTTCAGAACTCCTCTCCTTTGGCCTGGGCACGGGACATCTTCATGCCAACCTGAACAGAACGAAACCTTGCATTCATTCTGGATTGTCACTAGGGACTTTCAGCAGCCCTTTGCTTGTGGTTGATCCACGTCCATTTCATTGGCCATGTCCTCAAGCCGTTTCAACGGCGGCCGATATTTCCGCTAGGGCTGCAAGGCTAGGGCCGCCAGCTTGACAAAAATTGACGCTGCTAAGCATCCTGAAGTCCAAGCGCAAGCATCCGGCAATGAAGAGAATCCGAAGTCATGGACGCAGTACATCCATTCAAGCTTGTACGATCTGGTGTCCCACAACACTAAGCCAATTTACCATAGTTTTGAGGTGACATCTCAAGTGAACGAGGCATCAAAACTGAATTCCCGACCCAACCAAGGAATGGTGTTTGAAACATGCCATGTCCGTGTGGCTGTGATTTACTCGCGGCGCAATACAGTCCTGCAGAGCAAAGGAGACACCCGATGGGAACGACAATGCCCAGCATCTGGCGCTTATGGTGCGGTGTGCCAGATGGTCAATCTGCACAGGTGGCAAACCAGGGGGAATTGAGCAGCTCCTTGATGTTCCTTGACAACTTCTTTCTTGGGCGTTGAAAGTGCGATATCAGCGATATCCAGTAATATCCAGTGACAACATTGGAGATGTATGATTCCCCCCAAGGAGCATACACCAAGTGGCAACATGAACCATGGAGGAAAAGCTTGAAACCAAAACATGTGCAAAGTATCTGCCACATCCAATCTTCAGCTTACATGGACGCCGATTCTCTAGACGACTCTAGACCCTAGGATACCCTAGGCTCAAGAGCCTCTGAGCCTGCAAACATGAAGCCACTCTTGCAATCCGGAACTTGAGCTGACCGGTATTATGGACCAGGCTCTCGACACCATGTTTAGGCCACCCCATCTTCCCTATCTTCCCCTTTGGCTAGGCGAGTCACTGGATTCAAAGCTGCCTTGAGGCGCCCGATGGAGATGGGTGAGTCAGTCTTTGGCATCAAGGGGGTCTGGGAGACAGAAAGCTGACATGCGTCCTTAAACCAAACAGTTGGATTGTCATATGAAAGCCTCGAAAGCACATTCATTTAGTCACACAGTACTATACTATTCAGCTTCAAGCCGTAAAGTACCATGCTTTCATCCACTGCTAACGTAGTTGGTTGAAATAACCACGTCGACCCCTTTTGAAAATAGTTGATACAGGCTCGTCCTGTGTTTACACACATCAGGCTCAGGGTCTTTCCCTCTGCTGACATGTATGTGGAAAGCAACAACCAATTACGGTTTTGAACAGGGTCTGCGGCCCATCTTCTTTGAACTGTCCATTCTGTAGTCACATTCACCAATTTAGTAGATTCCTGTGGTAAGAGGTTCTTCACTCATTATTGACCTTATTTGCCCGTATTTGTCCTTTATTTGATCTTATTTGTCCTTTATTTGTTCCTTATTTGCTGAATCCTTATTTGTACCTTATTTGTCTCTTAAATGCTCTTATTTTTCAAACGGCTCGTTTTCACACGGCTCGTTTTGTGGCTATGAAAAAGTACAAGCGGCAAACCCCCAGTTATGTAAAGACTGAATCAATGGCAGCCGTCGAACTGATGCAGCACCCATCATTTTTTGAGCACCTTCACGGAGTGGATCAGAACATATGCGCTTGGCCAGGCAAACATGCTACACAATATCCCAAGCCAATCCAAAACAAGTGAGGCCCAAGTGGAACAGACTCCAAACAGAAAATTCAATGCAAGTGTCTCGCAATCCCTTCAGAGACTGAAACTGGACGGATTGAGGAAACTCCTGTGCCAATGATCCAGGAGCCATGTGAAAGATCCACTCTGGGCTCCAAACCAAAGCTTGTGCACCTAGCTGCGGATCATGGCGCATCAGCTGTATCTGGTCTGTGAAGGAAACCTCTGGTTGAGCGATCCAACCCAACGTTCACAAGAAACACACGGCGGGTTATTCCCATGTCCAGGAACTAACCTAGCTCATAATTACTTAGTTCAGCACCAAATGATTGTGTCAAGCATTCACAAACAAAAATTGAGCTGGTTCTGGAGAAGGCGTGCTCAGTGCTTCTGGCGGCATCTTTTGGTCTATATAGATAGCTCTTTCATCTACCTGACTTGGTGTCCCTACAATCACCGTCACCACCACGATCATCATCCCCCTTCCGGGAATCCCACGTCCGTTCGGAAAGCAGTCCCAGGGCCCATACCGACGGGCGCCATCACGAACATGGACGCCCTGACGCGGAGAAGAACGGGCTCACCCTTTATCTTCCCACCCGGTCTCACTTGTTGGTGGACTGTTTCATGAAACATGATCCACCTTGAAACCTTAAGAACTTAAGAAGTCATGACCCCCCATACCAAACATACAACTTCTCTTCAAGCCGATGAGGGCACAAGGCCAACGGAGCTCAACATGTTTCATGTCGGGTGTGCATGCCATGGATGATCATGGAAATCATGGCTGTAGCGTTTGTTGAATTGGCAACATCAGCTTGATATCCTGTTGGCTGACAGGCAAAATATAACGCGAAAAAAACGACCATCAAATGTGTTTGTTGAGCTCTTGGCGCACTCCTGTTGAAGAGGGCAAGCTTCCATTCATCTACGGCAAGCAACACATGCAACCTAATGGCAATGGCCTCCAACCTACTAGACTAGCAATGGCCTCCAAATGGCCTCCAACCTAATAGCAATGGAACCACAGTATCTGATATTTGCAATTGATGCAAGGAGTGTCTGTTAGCCAAGCCCATGCAGCCACGAGGCGAAGCACTGCAAAGAACGACCAGCAACGTCAGAGTCCTGGTCATGCGGTGTTGATGTGCTGCCCAATAGGCAAGAAACACAACTGTCCACAAGACAGGACCCTGAGTGTCCCACTGACAATCCGCCATGGCGCTCCTCTAAGGTATCTAAGGAAGATGTACTTTGTCAGTCCTATGTTAGGGTTTATATAGACGAGTGGGTCGGTACATGCAAACTTTCTCATATGTCCTATTCCTTCTCGGAACCCTCGGAGCCAGAAGCACATCCGGCATGGGCAGGATACAGTGGCTCTCCAATAGTCTGAAAATAACTTCAATCAAACTGCTTGGACTGCTCTAGCTGCAGCGTCTGTATACGTCTGTAATTTTCTTATATGGCTGGCATTGACCTCCTGGAATCTCTTTCTCCCAGGGTCTTCATCCAAACCCGGCCCCCCTCTGCAAAAAACGGTCCTGAACTGAGCCAACAATCATTGGGGCAAACATTATGTGCCTCACCCCATTGAAAACACCGCCGACCTGGTCTTTGCAATTTCGACACAGTGGGTCCGAAGATCGGCACACAAGTGCTCTTCTTCCCAGCTTTACTTCCGATGCACACTTGGGGAACAGCTCGCCAATGGCAGCCAAGAACTGAGAAGCAGCGGCATCCTTGGTCACGCTTGAAGTGCCCCAAAATCCAACAGCCAGCTCTTTCAATACACAGCTGAACCGATCCTCTTAAAACAAGTGTGCACAATGGTGCACATATTTATACACATATGATGTAAGTTGCTCAAAGGGTATCCTCGGTGTATATCCTCAGACCCGCCCATGCAAGTGCCGCACCTCCTTTGCAGGCTCCAAGTGATCAAGAGGGCCCTGCAGCCGGGTGCCGTTGCGCCACCCATCAACTCCAAACAACTAGCATCTTGCAATGGTCGCCGCGACATGCTTGCAATGCTTAGACGTCTTTGAGGCCTTCAGCCTGTCACGGACAGGGAGCAAAGCAAATTTGGGGAAACCATCAAGCATCCAAAAAGACATTGGCGGCAACATGTTTAACAGCTTTGCTCCAACACCCCCAAAGATCAAATAATATGCGGATTTGGCGGGGAAGTCGTGTGCTTGCTCTACTCCCACCTCCCATCCAATCTCACCCAGAAAGTCCACAATGGCATACTCTCCACGGCGACAATGTAGAACTCCAACCTGCGGCTTTGTCACACCCACATGTCAACTGTAGCTCCCCCAAGCTGCAAAACGGACCTTGGTAGTCCTGGGTGCAGGGTGATCTATGAATCTGCCACAGCGCGTAAGCTCAGTGGATCGCTCATGAGCTGAGCTGAGTTCTCCGAGCCTCCCACCCATTAAAAACAATACTTAAATGTGATTACCTTAACGTAAGCTCGGTTCTCCCATGTACATTGATAGTGCTTACCCGAGGCTTACCAGGCTTTCCCCTTGCATGACTCATCAATTGCTCCGTTCCATCTGAGATCAATACGAAAATTGTACAAAACAAAAGGAATACTAAAGGAGTAAGTAATTTGTGCTGCGATCCCTCTGCGATCTGGTGCCTCCTGGCCCCGCATCACACTGCAACCCGGCTGCAAGGTCAGCAGTTCCAAGTCACCTTTCTCGAGAAAGCGCATGCCGATGCATGGAGTCATGGAGAGATGTCTCACATGACACACATTTGTATCATTTTGTACTATACAGACTATCATTATACATATGTACATGCATGTTCTGTGGGGGTGCTTCCAGCACATCTTGGCAATTGGGATCCTATATTCTGGAGGCATTTGTGCCTGTATCCAAACGCCTTGGTGGGCACACTCTCTATACGCGGGCGTTGTTGGGTAACCTTCACAAACACAAGAAAATCGCCCGGCAGGACTGTTTGACACAGCTTTGCACATGCACAGGGTTTGTATCCCTGATCGCGTTGATGATGTGTGCAGCACGTTGAGTCGGCGGTCACTAGATTCTTGGTGTGGTAGATCCGGACTTTGGAGCTGGATGAGTGACTGGGGTGCGACAAGCTTCTGTGGTGCGTGGCAAAGCCACATTATTGTTGGATGCGGCTGATGACCAGCAAGTTCAGTCTGAGGTTGGAAGAGTGGCATGAATAGCACACTGCCTTAGACTCAGATGTGCCATCCACGCATCAGAAAAATTAATGGGCTCCCACCATCACAACATATGCACGTGGTGCTATCCTGTCCGTCCTTGACCACGGGATACCGCGGGTCTATAACTGGATTCCAAGTAAACGCTCTGGATTCTGGATACCGTGCCTGCGGCCAGCGCTTCGTCCACATCCGTCGTTGGAATGAACGCCTGAGGTTGCTTCTCCTGAAGCAAGGCTAAGGAGGCCGAAAGAATGTAGGCCAAGGTCGGAAATTGCCCACGGCCAGGGAAACAAAAAGCCCTGTCTGCAAACCTTTGGTTATTCCAAGATGTGCTTTGATCGTGGAGCACTGATTGAAACATGGAAAATTGTGTGTGTGCCCTGAAATGGACCACTGGGTAGCTGCATGGGTAGTTATGTGTGAGTTTAATTTTGACACGGAATAGGGCCATAGGGCCTGCAAATGTAGTTGGCAATCTCAACACCTCACCGATCACCCGCACTTGGAGCAGCGAGCCCTCGCCCTGCTCAGGACTTCGTCCCTGCTAGTTGTATCTGCGATGCCTGAATACAATGGGACAACTTATATACAGCAATCAGGAGCAGCAAAACGAGAGCAAAAAAAGCGGTTTACATCACACACTGATAACCGCAACAACCACCCAAAACATCTATTTGACCTTTGCCCTGCCTGGGATCCAGCAAAGGACTGGATGCAAATGCCCAGGTCGTCACTTTGGACGACCAAGCCTTACAAACCCCAAAATGAGCAAAAGGCAGCCACTTAGAATCCGCCGTTTCGACAATCGGACAAACATAGTTTCATGCACTTCATCTCAGCAGGACTTTTAGGACATTACATTGGAGTTTGCAAATTACCTGAGAAAAAAACTAAACTGCTTCTGTGAGTTTCTATCTGGTCGCTCTGGTCATTGCATGCGTCCAGTAGTGCAACTGGTATGACTGTATGCCCACCCGATGATCAAAGCAACATCATGGCCTGCAAACGCAGCACTAGCTCACTAGAAGCAGTTGTAGGCGTATGTAAACAGTCTCTTCAAATCAAGGGCCCACCTGGGGTTCTGATCTACTTTCCAGGGATGTCTGTTTTTGAGGCACCTCATCACACCTCCACACCACTGCAGACTGTAGCAGGAACAACTCCCCTTCCCTGGAAATCACCAGGCTGCCAAGGCTTTGGCCCTGTCGAACGACATCTCCCAGGTCAGGATGGGCCGTTGGAGTACGGGCTGTCAAATCCTCCCGTTCCGTAGCTTGCCAAGGGCTTGGGACACATGTGCCCACATAAACTGGAGTTGCTGGCACTGTGGGTGCGAAGCTTGCCGAGTTCCTTTGCACTGCAGCAATCTGCAGCGTGCCCAGCTAACAGGCCACAGGGATGCTGACAAAGTATGACGCAGTTGGATGACCAATGGCTCAGGCCAATGAACTTCCATACCAAAAATCGGTTGAATGATGCATGATGATGATAGAGTACCGCAGTTAAGTTAAAGCATTGTATTGACGAGCATTCAAGTCATTCAATTTTACAAATCTACAGTAACCAATACGCCATGACCAAACATGTCAAACGTCTCAGGACTGACCAAATCCGCCCCTTTCCCTGTCCTGGATGGCCACACTGCATTCTACACCCTCGCTCCAGATTCGCACCGTTGCTGGATGCAGGCCGTCACCTTGCACCAAGGCCTTTTGAGGGCGGCCACCTGGGCTTTCTGAATGGAGTCAAATGGGAGTTACAAAACCGGTTTTGTCACTCCAATTCCAATTCATGAGGGTTGTTGGAATTTCTTTCTATTGGCCCTTCCGTCGGGCGTCGTGGCCGAACCGGTGTAACAATAGTTGGGACAAACGCACAGGTTGCGGCTGCTTTTGATTGCAATTTGAAACTGTGCGCTTTAGAACTTCAAAGAACTTTCACCCATGATAGTAAATCTGGTTGGATGACCAACCATTGCTCCTAAACAGGCGGCCTCCGTGCCAAAAGACCTTGCTCCCACTCCGGCTGAGAACTTCTGCTTGGGAATCCTTGGTGGCCCACGAGCACCAAGGATTGCTTGGAAGGTTGGCAGGAAGCAAGTGATGATTGAAAGGTGGCATTGGAGTATTGGGTCTTGCTGGGGCGTGGAGGCCCAACAACCACATGTTTCGGCAGGCTGAAGCATGCCACCCCGCCCTGCTCCAGGGAAAGAAAGAACCTTATCCTTTGCCGGTTTTCTTCAGGTATGTCTTCGTGCTTATTCTTTTTCTCGGCACGGCCCGGAACAATCGATGCAAATGACTCTACATACACCGCGATACAGGTTTCAGGTGTTTGTCGCCTGGGACATTGTCCCAAATACTAAATACAGCAAAACGAGGGCCGTCAAATAGACATTTTTTGATGGACAGGATGTGTTGTGAGGTTGAGTGATCATGGCAACCTAAAGGTATGTTTGACATTTCTTCTGACACTGGATTGGCAGTTTCAAACCATGTGCCCAAAGCCAGCTTTTTGTCTAAAGGAGGCGACCTGTGTGATAAAGGAGGCTTCTGGATAAGGTAGGGTGCTTGCATGAAGAGGTAGATTTTCAAAGCTGCCACGTGGTTATATACAATAATGAGAACGCTCTTTTGTCCCGTGCGATTATTAATTATTACAGTCTATTTGCATCAAAGGAAGAAACTGTCATCAAACATGCAATCTCCTTGCAAGCCAATCCACAAATTGATGTACGTCCGGGACCAATAAAAACCACAAAGCCGCGCAGCGCACAGAACTCCCTTTCATACAAAGCGCTTTTGTACAGGCCAAGCTCCTTTTGAATCCTTTTGATATATTTTTGTACCTTCTATATGCACGTGAGATTCTTATATACACTTATACAACAAAGAACTGTTCATTAAGGATAAGGTCATTTCCAGAAGCAAATTCTTATCAATGAAGGAAACCATTGAAAAATCTTGAAACGCAAAGACCACTTGAAGAGAAAGCGCGTTAGAAACACATTTGTTGATATTTGTTGTGCAATGAACATGCTCATTGGAATGATGAGAGATGATGATACATGATATTCGCGGGTACTGTATATGAACTAAAAGCGCAACATGTCGTCCAAGTTAATTAATGTGATTATTGGACCCGTGTGAAAATTATGTCTTGTATGTTTTTTAGTTATTGAGCTGCTTTCTTTCTCTGGCTCCATGTTCTTTGTAGAAGGATGGCAGTCGCTTAGTGTTCCTTTCTATTTTGTCGCAGCATTGCCGATAATCAGCACCAGGCTCTGCTTCCAACGCGCAGCACGGCAGCCAAACAGCATCGTCCAAGTCAGCGAAGGCCACGCCGGCCTCGCTGCCTGACATGCAAAGGATCCTTCCCACGAGGCACGCTTCACCAGCATCGGGAATCCGCCACTTCACCAGCCTCATGGAGTGACAGCGATGTATGAAACACGTGAAACAAAATGGACAAATTGCTTTCTGGCCCTGGTTTGTTCATTAAACTGGGCAACCCTGTGTCTTTCAGGGCAATGAGGGGAATGAGGTGGTAGCCGGCTAGCTTCAAAACACCGAGCTAAAGTCTTTTTCGCTCATTTGAATAGCTTCTTAAAAAGGCCCGTGCAATCCTCATCCAACCATCCGGCAGTGTACCTCCGGTTCATTCCTTTGGTGTTGAAATGGGAAACGACAGGACTATCATCAAGAACCCACTGAATAGCCATCACCACAGACCACCAATATATATAATTATATATATGTACCTTGAGTCTCCAAAGACCTTTTTTTTTCTGCGTTTTTGTTTTTGGTCTAATATTTTTGCGTTTTTGCTCGAAAAACGCGTTTTTAGAGATGAGGACTCAAAAAAAGGTGCAGAGTGAATCTTCATCCGGACGCGTCCGGCACGGACGCTTAAAGACGCCTTTTGGACGCAAAAAGACGCGTTTTGGACGCCGAAAAAAGGTCTCAGGACACTGTCTAAGGAGGATCTGCCAGGGCACACACAAAAAAGGAACATTTCGTGACATATGCAAAAAAGAGTGCTTTCTTTCAAAAACCTCTTTTTCTTGGAAAGGCAAATTTAAAAGGGTCATTGGAGACTCAAGGTAGAGATATAAGTGTATAAATATACAGTATATGTATGGTTTCTTCTCGACTCGGTCGGGCTAACCAGGAGAGGTGTTCTACCATGAGCAATGATTAGGTCTATCAGTCTCGAATAACTACAATAAGAAATTAAGAATCCTCAATTGATGTTTGTTTTTGCGAGTTTAGCCTTCTTCTATCCTATTATGAGCAAATCAGCCCTGCCTGCCAGGCCAAAGAGCCTTCCGCAGCGTGACAACCAGCCGCTCTGCCTCCGAGAGCGGCAGCGGTGCCTCAAATGACCCCTTCAATTTTCTGGACATTTCAGGCTGAAAATGCGAACATGTCAACATTGAAGTGAATCAGCTGCTTCTGCAATGGCATTGCTTGAAGCGTGAGGCGCGCCGCCCGCGCAAACACATACACCAAAAGCGCAAACAGGCTTCCTGAGATCGTGCATCGTCAAGGGCCCGCTTCAGCTTCCTGGGCAAGGCTTAAAAAACACGTGCCCAATGGCTGAGTGGATGATGCTGTTTGACGACTGGCAATTCCGATCGCCAAAAAAGTTATTGCGTGGCAAGCCTGGCCAGGTAACGCCAGGTGGCCTAAAAACAGAGCAAACGTGTGTTGGCCTTACTACTAGGACCAAAGAAAATACTAGGAGCAAAGGGCATCGCTACTAGGAGCAAGGACGCTACTAGGGGCTCCTGGCCTTACTACTAGGAGCAACCAAGCTACTAGGTTGTGTTGTGCAAGCATATGCACCCTCCACCTGCACGGCCCACGTCCACCCGCAAGGCTACATTTCTTTCCAAACCGGTTCGAAACAACTTCTCAATTGCTCCATTGATGTCCTGTTTGCATATATATATATATATGTCATGTGTTCAAACATGTTTAAAGCATTTTAAGATATTTTAAGGTTTTGGCATGGCTTTGATTTCTGAAAGGCAGCTAAGTATCTGCTCCAGCTCGCCGGCAGCTGACAGTTGAGCCTCCAAATGCTGAACCTGGATGCTTGAAATCGTCGAACTAACGCTGCTGCCAAAAATAGCTAGCCCTAACTAACTTAAACCTGCTTGCCCCATCCATTTCAATCTGCACATTGCAAAACGCATCAGCATCTGTGGATCAAAACGTGCTCAACACCCAGGCTTGACCCATGCATCTGGACACTGATCATTCAAGCCATCGGACCGCCCTGTTGCCATGTCGCTTTCTCCTCTAGCGCCTTCAGCTCCAAATGAACTGCGCACTTCTCCTGAACCGCACTTGGGAGGAAATGAAATATGTGGTGGAGGCACTGACCGCCCGCAAAAATGAAGATCCACATCACCAAACAAAACACGCCCCTTCAAGGTCCACACTAATCAAGTTTGCACATGTACACAGAGAGAGAGCGCGCGCGCGAGAGAGAAACATGTTTTGGGGCCTGATGATCGGTCTGATGTCTACCTACCTGACACATACGCCAAGTTCCCCACCGGCGGCAAGTTGTTGCTGACGCGGCAAATACGCTGCGCCGGGCAGTCATCCTTCAACACGGAAGTCCAATCCCGCAAGAAGCACGGTCTTTTGTCAGTTGACCTACCTACCAGGATCCAGCACTTCTGAGGTTCAAAGACCATGGAGACAAAAAATCTCAGTTGGAAATTGCATGGTGAACTTATCGCTCCTGGATGAACTGTGCCAGGTATCGAAAGTTTTGGGGCAAAAGTGCGCCGCCAGCATCCTGCACGGGTGTTTTCGCCAGTCCGCTTCAAGGAACAGGTTCACAATGACGTTGGTGCGGGGCAGTCGCACAAGGTCGAAACTTTTGCATCCTGTGCAGTACCCAACCTTCGCTTGTTGGTGTTGTCTTATTGTCTTTAGAAAGCTGACTAAAACTGCATCAGCATGCATCACAAACGTCAAGCTCTCAGCTTCTCAACAAAGTTCTTGTGTCCACAAACGTGCCCCTAATTATTGATAGTTATACACGTCGACCCATTCGACCCTGACCCATTCGACCCATCAGACCAATCCTCCTGCAGCCACGTTTGGTAGGCCTCCTCTAGGGCACGGCTCACGCTGGGCGAGAAGCCGAGCCATCCATCCGCCTCCTGAGCCACTCCGAGCCGAGTGCTGAGACGTGAGACCTGTGGGAGAAGGGCGCATGGATGCCGTCTTTGAAACGTTGAAACCAGGCAAAACTGATCGAACTCAGGGCTCAATAACGGTAGATCCCAATATCCCAAGGCTGAGACCTACGAGGGGAGGCCTCCTAAGCCACTTGCACGCCCAAACAAGCTATATTCTGATGTCTCCAAACCACGGGGAGCTGTGTAGGGGTTCGGGCCCGTTGGTTTGCCAGCAAGCTGCCAACAGTGGCCCTCAAACAAACTGAAATTATGTGATTGTATATATATATATATCGCGAGAATCGCTTCTACTCTTGTCTCTTGTGGGACCTCTATGAATTAATATGCCAATTGCAACCTTCCTTTAGGATCGAACGCGAACACGACACCGGCGTCGATCTTCATCGATCTCCATCGGCGTCATCGGCCTCGAAGATCCAAGAAGCACCACTGAGCTCTGTGTGAGAAGCGCCCATCGGGCGCTTCTGCGCTCCGCTAAGAAAACGCAAAGGATCGCAAAGGTGCGTGCGTTCCTGTGATCATATTGGAATGACTCAGAATATATCAGAATCATGCACCATCAGACTTTCATGATTCCTCTGACCGCCAAATCTGAGGTCAAGAAACATTCAGTCCTTTACTCTGGTTGAAATGATGAGGGCAAGTCTTCAAAGGACAAAGTGTGTCTAGGCCGTAGACATCGTAGTCTAGGCCCTGGTCAATTGGGATGCGCCTGTGGATCAAAGTGCTTGGACGTGCCTCTTGTAAATGCATTGAATCGGACTGTTCTTTTGGGTGACTGTCACTGGCTTGGTCACACGTGGAAGGGAACTGATTACAACGAGCATTTGGCTTGATTACATACATAATTCCAAATAGGTATGTGAAATCTGGAAATCATTTGCGCAATGCAATAAAAAATAAGACCCTCTGGATCTGAATGTTGCCGAGTAAGCAAGAGCATTGAGCCGAGGCAGCCACAGTGACCATCTTGACTGAACTTACTGTGCACACCTTTATGTACCCCCAAAACCAACAGTACGAACAGTGAGCATTTAGTATAACAGTATAACATGGCACAAATCATTTTGAACTCCAGTCAGCGAGACGAAAGGACATCTCTCTCATTTTGGCACTCAGCGTTCTGCCGCGCCTCCTTCGCGCTCACTTGCGCCAGTGAAACTCTGGTCCTTCGCAATCCGAGCTGCCACGGCTGCTGAATGGCCTCATTTGATCTCATTTCGACTCACGCTCCATGGAAGTGGTTCCGCATCGTCCCTTGACAACGATGTTCCATGTCTCAAGCAGCGAGGTTTCACTTCCATCTTAGTGAGTCTCAGCATATTCTCTCACACTGTGATGGCGGCTGCTTGTGTTCCGCCAGGGGGCCCTGAGATGAACAGTGTGCAGCCTCTGTTCGACCCACGTGATATGATTGGAAGACGTGCTTAGTTGATCTTACTTGTTGGCTCTCATTCTAGTTCCACCAAAACCACGCAAGAGCATGACCCTCCCCTGTGGTCCCAGTGTAAATTCCAATCCGATGCAATTGATCAAGTCTTGGTACCACAGCTGTCACACACGCGCGCACACGGCGCACACACTCCGGCCCCCCAACCCTATGCAGCCTATCCCTATCCGGCTCGTTGGACACCCCCTTGCTGGACACCCCAAACACCATCGTCGCGCTCCCGAGGCCTCACTGATCTTCCAGCTCCTGCCATGCGCCGCAGATGAGTCTTCTCCAAATAGCATGTGAATGGATGTTCATCCACCCCTGATGCCCGAGAAGTCTTCCCATGTCTTCACCATTATTCACCCACTCCAAAAATGAAGACTTCATTGTCCAACCGCCTTTGAAGGCCTTTCACCACAGAAGCAAATGGCCCTCGCCGTCAGGCAGCTCTATTCAGCAATCTCTATTTGGAGCAAAACCCTCTGACCCGCATACGCCATGTCTTAAAATGTCTCCACTGGCCACACGCGTTCCAGATGTTCTGTGGATTTCCCTGTGCATGTTCAACAAGCCCTCCACCCTCTGCCAGGTTCAACAGCCCCCCACTCTGAGTCGCCAAGTCGCCTTCTCCTGGAGCTGCTGCAGCTTTGCGTCCAAGGCCTGGATTCGCCCTTCCAACTGCTCCACTGCCGCGATGAAGTCCGCCGCCTGGGTGATCTCGGCAGCTCCTTGCGATGAGGTCTCCGGACGGCATCCGGGGGGAAAGCTGTTGCTTCAGGCGAAAAGATGTAGCAGTGAAGGCGAAAGAAAGGGATCATAACAAAAGTAGAACAAAACATCAAAAGAACATGCGAACAAAAACGCAAGGATGGTTCGATCAGGGATTCGCAAACTCAAGACATTATTGCCCGCAGGAGTGCACATCAACAAAACTATTTAGGTGAAGGTGCATGTGTGTTTGCACAGGACTGATGGATATGGATGTACTCTCTAACTATATAATATATACAATATATGAGTGCCCTTTGGATGAGAATTCCGGGCGTGCAACCTTGTGGCACAAATGGCGCAACATGAATGGAAAGATTGCGCAAGATTGCTCATCAACCACCCATCATCACAGAAACATCAGAAACCCCACTAACCCACGAGTCCGCGTTGTTTCAGCTGCAACTTCGTCTGTACCAGCTGCACCTGCATGAAAGAGGCTGCGCTTGGCAGCCAAACTTGAGAGTAGGCTAACGATCTATATACAGTAGAAATCAAGCATAATTGAGATTCCAACCAACTCTTGTCTAACAATCCCCCTGCATGATGGATCCGAACAAAGCTCTCTGAATTTCATGAATCGACGGGTTTGGAAAAAGCTGCACCAACCCGGAAAGCCATGGCAACACCAAAAGAAAGCTTAGCATAAGCATCCAATAACCAAAGGATATGGTACGATTCCGCAATTGTTGCATCTTGTATCGTACCATACCATCACTTGAAAAAAATTGAGCTCACGTTCACATGTCGAACCTCAAGCAATTATCAACAAGTATATATGTGTTCAGTCCCTTCAGAACAGCTTTGCAAGTGTGACAGTGACAGTTGGCGAATACACGCGGACTAGTGAGCGCATGCAAACTGTTGCAAATCTTTCTTGAACAAAAACCAATCAGCCGCTAAATGCTGAGCCACCAAGAAAGGATGCCGCAAACACAGGCAAATGGCAAGGGCATTCAGGATCCATAACAACAAAGGAATCCCTCAGTTGGATTTTCTCATGGTTCTTCATGACCTTTCCTTAACCAACTCAACATGGCCAAGGCCAAATCAATAGCAATACACTGGACCGGGAAGGCTTTCACATCCCACCTAGAGCAATGCAAATGCCTGGTAATCACTCCACTCGTTCTGCCAGGCCGCGCCTGCATAGCTTCAATCTCGCACTCGGGGCAGGTGGATCCGGCTGCGCATGCGGCGGCCACCAGCAGCACCAGCCAGCGAGGCATAATATGAATTGGGACGAAATGGGTTTCCTCTTTCCCTTGTCAATGTTTTGGGCCAAGCTCAACATGGACGCCAAACAAGAGTCTTCAACTGGCAGAAGATGGGCCTGGCCGAACACATCAAATGATGGGGTTCGTTTAGAAGCTTTGTAGAAAGTGTTTTCGGATGTTTTCGGTAGAAAAGCTGCTGCAGTGCCACGTCGGACATTTTCCACGCTTAGACCCCTGCAGATGGACACCTGCGATCCATAAAGGTCATCATAACAGCACAAGCAAAATGTGACATTCATCAGTGGATGCACATGCAGGATTGGCCCACCCAGCCACATGGTCAGGAGATCAAAAGGATTTCTGTCAGGAACTTCTGCCGCTGTACAGAAATAGTGACCAGAAATAATAGTGGTCACTGATACCAGCTAATGCTCATTGCAGCCTTGCTGAAACTCTGAAGCATTCTTCAAAGCCAACTTCCGAATGCGTGATGGCCGCGGGGGAACGTGGGCAAAGACTCAATGATGAGTATCGCCGGATTGTGGGATGTGTGGGTGTTAGTAGGTTACAAGTGCCTCAGTCCTTTCAAATACCTTTCCCACAAGATTATCAACATGAATAAACAGTTAGTCACAAGCTGCCGACGCAGCTCTATCGCTGCAAGCCAACCCACAACGATTATATAACTATATATATACAACAATCCAAAAAGTGATCCAAGTCAATCAAAGTAACGGCAAGGTGCGGCTGGCCTTTAAAAAAACTGCGTGCCAGGGCACAAATGCCCTCTTTACAACCGTCGTGGATGCTTTGACATGAGAGTAACCTGCACATGTTGCTTGGAATCTTGCCCCTGGAGCCTCCGAAGCATAGGTTCACCCATAGTCCATAGTTTTCTCAAGCATGAAGTAATCATGGCAAATCAATGTGAATCCGTCAAAAGCATCCACACAGGTCGTGGACATGCCATCTTGCACAATTGCAGCTTGAGACCACGATTAGCTGGTACAGAATAATCTTTAGGAGACAATACTCCATGCCCCTCTTGATTTAACAGTGTCACAAGGTTTCGGGGCACTGAGCACAGCGTGTTGCGAAGCCAGAATTGGTGCAATTTCTGAGGCCCCGTTCTGGCTCAACTCCACACGGCTCTTCATGATCCATCCCTCTGGGATCAGTCACAAACACACTCCCCCAAGGAACAGGACCACGGGAGCTTCGGTCATGATGTATGTCCACCCAAACGGCTACTGTTTCGTTGCGCCCAGGAACCATAATTACAATCTCCCCCCGGAGACGTTGAATCCTTAAACTGTGCTATAATAAGTTATGACAGTGCGCATGGGAATTTGAGCATTTCAGACTTCGACATCGGTTTTGGAGATCGCATGACGGAGAACATGATTTTTTAAAAAAATCGTTTTCAATCGGAATCGGTTTACGATTCAACAACGATCAAATTATCAGGCATTCCGCTTGAATAGCAGTGCAAACCCTAAACACAAGAACCCTAATCATCCATAGTCCATAGTTGTTTGGCGGGGGCAAACTGGGCATCCTGATGCTATTGTTTTGCACGACCACCAGAACTGGTTACAGTAGCAACAGTGATGCCAACAATGCAGGATAATGCAGGGGTCCATGTATCTTGGGCTCCTTTTCTGCGGGGCAACACGTGAGAAATCCATGTCCAGCCACCCCAAAGTTTAAAGTTAAAACATGTTAAAACCACCTACAATGAAACACCTTCGGGTTCATCTCTGCCCGTGGTTGCTGCCATAATTGTTTCTTTTTGGGGAGTGTGTTGGAATTTCACCACATGACTCGTTGTCTCCTCACCCCTCAGTGCTCTCCTCCGTCTCATCATCAGCACCAAAGAAGCCACAGCCGTCAAAGCCGTCTTCATGTGACGTCGTGCTCTCCTGCAGTCACGTGGCTGAGAATGCTTCTGGCAGCTGCATCCAAAAAGTACGCTTTGATAATGTGTTTTGAATGGTTCTAGTTTTGATCTGTCTAATCCCGAGTACCTATTAAAAAAAGGTCCCCCATTAAAACAAAGTCATGTCGGAAACCCCTAAATATGGTTTAAAATCGGTGTTAAATTGCCGCCCTTTCAAAACCGCTGCTAAACTACCAACATGGCCGATTTTGGAGAAGTTCTTTTTAATAGGTTTTAAAAACCACCGTAACTGCCCACCTCTGTCCACCCTGTCTATCCACCATGACACGCCGCGTTTACACCAGCAGGCTTTCCTTCCCCCAATGGCACGGACTCACGCCAACGCACTTTCCACCTGTCCAAAGCTTTATATAGTTGTTAGTCTAATGAAGAATCACTATTCTCATAAAGGCTTTTGTAGGGGAAAAGGAAGAACCTTCGATCTGGAGTTTTGAATGTTTGATACGAGTACATTTTCCTGGGTGACTTTGATTTTGAAGCCCTTCCCAGGTGACCCTATTTTGGACCACCCCGATTTCAGGGACCCCCTATTTAAAAAAAGGGCGACCGAGGTTTCCTTATTAGGGGGGGCCGCGTGTTTTTTAATAGGTGGACCGGACCGGATTATATATATATATATATATCTCTTTCCCTTACCGTCGTCAAGTGATAGTGTCTTCCATGCAGAATAGGTATACTGACCTTAAAACGTACAAACTATGCATATATCATATAATAACAGTACATAATAATTAATGCATATGCAATGATTGCGCTTCTCCAGTTTCAACCTCTTGACCTTCAGGCCATTGGCACCTCATCAGTGACGAATCATCGCCTCTCTGTGTTAGGTGCTTCTGCACTGCATCATGCAAAGTCCTTTCTGTCTCTCGCAGCCAAATCAATGATCAAGACGACGATGTCGTCGGCTGCCTGACGTCCCGTCTGTTGCATCCAGCGTTCATAAGCCTCCTGGAACAATCCGAGCAAATCCAAGCAGGTGAACATTCGGAACAGCAATTGAAACTGGAATCTAGAACATATGAGTACATCGAAACAGCCAGTGATTGAAAGAGGACACACCGGCCACATCGGACTGTCTGAGTGCCTGGTGGCATTGAGGGTTCAACTGATGGAAGAAGCTTTCAAGTCTTGAGAACATTCCTGTCCTAAAGGTCTTTGTCTACGGATTAGAGAGAGGGGGAGGGAGAGGGGGAGGGAGAGAGAGAGAGAGAGAGAGCTAGCTCCTCCTACAAAACATCATAAAACATCACAAACTAACATAAACCCCCACCATCCTCCGCGTGGTAACGGAAAATCATCATCCAAATTCATCCAGTTCCAGGGTCGAACTACACCACGCAGTTCGGGTTCACCAGTTCCTCTTCCCCACCAAACACAATACCATCTGGACTTCGACACGTGGGACGATGCGCTGTGTCACTCGGAACCGTCCGTCCTTGGCGACGCGCTCGGCGGCCACGGTGGGTTGCGCTGCTCCGCAGGCCGCGACGATGTCCAGGACCTCCTGGAGCGGAGTGAGACAAATCGCGGTGCCTCGGTTGCCCCCAGGACAAGGTCCGAAAGGGTCCAAACACCTATAGCATCCTATAGCCATAGCATTCTATAGCTACTTGCAGTTGGGGATTTAGTGATCTTGAGATATGATATTGATGATCAATCTATTCGTCTGCTTTGCCAGGAGCTTGTGTCAGTTGCAGGATGTTCCTTACAAACCATCAAACCGTTTATGCTTCGTTTTCGCCCCTCGAGTTGGTTCACCGGCACTTGAGGGATTTGAGCCAGTCATGGCCCTAGTCATGGCCCTGGCTGTTAGTCGGTTCGTCGGCCTAGTCACCTCCAAGAGTCGATGCCCCGATTGTCATTTTTGGACCAAGAGTCGATGCTAAACTTGTACTGTCTTGCAGTTAATATCAGTTAAATATTATAAGTTCAGAAAACAGAACACACACATTGTAAAGCATGCAAATATGAAAAACATTGCAAAACAATGATCTTATGTGCAGAGATGATACATCCTTTTGCAGGTTCGAGACTCAAAGACAACCTATGCAGCATCCCACATCCCACCCGTGGAAGAACTGCCTGAGGCTTCATCCAAGTCCACACGCCGTCGCTGGCCACCACTAGCACCTGCCAGCGCTCGCTGGGGTGTTCGTGGCATGTCGTGTTCTACCTCGTTGGAGGGAACCATGGGGAATTCAAACACACACACACAAAAAAAATACAAGAAGAGAAAACACATGCATCTGCCACACGCTGCACTATCAGCACTCCACTTGCAATATGTCGGCTTGCTCTTGTTCCCCGGCTTTGGCACGAAGTTTGAGGTGGGGGGTCAACATTGAAGCCTTCGGGACTTTGGCATGAAGTTTCGACCGGACAGACCTTCGAGAAATCGCCGGATTTCTTATGATTTCTGCTGAGCTTTCACATGGACCAGAAACTGGCGTCTTGATAGTGTCGTGCTTGAACGGTTCGAGAGGTCTCAAAAAAGGCCATTCAACTTTACATTGCATCTGCTTCTGGCTTGCCAAAAGCAGCATGGTCCGTCTTCCTAAGTGCAGCGGGCCTTATCTTCTGGAGCCAGGAGCACTTCCTTCCTCAAATGCCAGGTGAGCAACACGTACACACGCTGCACGATGGCTTCTCCAAATGCAAATGAAGGCTTGAAGGGCTTGAAGGACGTGACATGCAGCATTGATTGATAGTCGGATCGTCCAAGCTGTGGCAAAAATGATCATTTAATCATCATTTATGTCTGCGTATCCACCGGAGTATCTTGAGGCATCATATGTGTGACATGTGGTAAACTTCTGCAACGTAACGCAACCAAGTTACTATAACTATACCCTGGCACAAGGATGGCACAAGGTCAAAAGGTGCTCAATAGTGCTCACTTTGTGTTTGCCTGCCAGCTTGATGAAAAACATCTTCCGTCTTGGATGACCCCGAACCCAATTTCAAGTTGCATCCAATGCCAACTTCCAAGTCTCGCTAAAGTCCGGAGGTTTCAACGGACTCGGTTTGTCTTCTTGGACCCCTTCTTCAGTCTGAGGATCACTTCGGGCTCGCTGGAAATGCCACACTCCACGTGGGCATCCAAATCTCCCAGGCTTCGAGTCACATTGAGGCCTCTCCGATGAACGCGGTGTGTTTGCTGCCCGAACATCGGGCCGTTTCTGTTTCGGGGCCTTTGACGTGGGACCCGCCGAACGACTTTCCTGCAGGCTTGTCGCTAGTACACTTTCCCATGGGTGGAGGGTCGCTGGTTGGAGAAATTGCATGAAGTTGTACGCCATTTTAGAATGAACACATGCAGTTTCGGAACCGTTGCATGCAGTTGCATCATGTTCGATTGAGAAAGCCATCGGTCAAGAACCCCATATCTTCAAACGGCACACAAACACACACTTTTGCTGGATGCATTTTTTCAGTGAACAAATGCCATAATTGTCTTGAACATATGCGGCCGTTTTCGGGGTTGCAAACACGCACTCAAAATCCATGGACTGGGAAAGACGCCGTTTGGATGCCTATATATAAAGGCGCCGTTTGGACGCCTACAGTAAAGATGCCGTTTGCAGGCCTAGAAACACCGCTTCTTTTTGGTTTCTGCCGGTTTCCACCGGGTCGCAACAATACAAAACAAAAACGCCGTCTTTGGGGAAGGCCGCCGTAACAGCATGTTTCTTGAAAAAGCAATTGTTTATGCCGTTTTGAAGCTCCAGGGATACACCTCTGACAGGACCAAGATCCATCTCAATTTGACTTCAATGACAATATATATACTGCCTACTGGTGAGTTAGGACTTTGAGTCTCCAAAGAGTTAGGAATTGTGCAGCACAAGGCCTAACTCATGAGGCCAAATGGAACCCCGCCATTTCAGAACAGCCAGATGTTCCATGATGAGACAGGAGTAACATACCGCAGAATGCCAACAAGTCCCAACTCATGCTGCATGCACATCTCCAAAGACACCAGGTTTTGAGACGGCTAACCCCCCAAAAAGAAAGTGCACAATCGTGTGAAATCTGTCACAGAGAAACACCAGTTGTGAAAAAGTCACCTTTTATCTCACGTCGTGCCGCCCACGCGCCTAAACAACCATAATGTAGCCATGCACAAACATCCAAGGACATCAAAGGACATGCTGGGACATGGACTGGTAGCAGCACAAGTCCTATCTCATGTGTTGGCATCCGGCCACACATGCCCTGGGCACACCATTTTTGTTTAACATGTTTTGCCTTGCTAGGCTTTATGAGATAGGAGTTGTGGACCAAACACTTGTCAAAAAGTACTTTTCTTCATGATATGGGACATTGATTTTTTGGCATACGTCCGACAAGTCCAAAGTCACTGGTGAGTAGTATATATATACCGCAAAAGCGTTTTGGGATGTTTGGGGGTCCATTCGGCCCATCTTGGTCTGCAAAAGGGGGTAGTGCATGCTATGATTATCAGAACCTACATGTCATAACATATATGGCCCCCAAATCCCCAAATCTCGCATCAAAAGAAACGAGTCGGACTTTCGCACAACGCTCCACATGCGAAATGTGTTTCAGGAAGCACCATGACGCTCCACAACATTCCACACCACATCTCCGGCGCCACATCGTGCCTGCGCCCGTCCCATGCTTGTTGAAGGCCCGGTAAGCGCCGGCTTCCCATTCCACACGAGCACCCACCGCCTGGCGCGGCGCTTGTAGCCGCGTCTTTGGAGTGGTGGGTGAGAGGTCGTAGGGAGTGGCAATTCTCCACAAGGACTCTAAGACATTAAAAGTCAACAATACAGTATAACGCAGTGCTTGTATGATCTTGTGCCAATTGCTTATCTATTGTTCATCTAGAATTATTGTATTTGCATGTATAGTATTATCATATATTATCACATATGTGCCTTTTATCTTCCAGGTAGTGAGTGTTGTGGGATGTTGGACAATGCATCTCTATACAACGACGCCATCGCTGGCCCAGGCGACCACTGCACCGTTTTTTGCCGGGCCTCCACCCGGTGGCGCTCGTCCTCGGCCTCCAAGTGGTGGTCCTGCAAGCAAACACTCAATACCGGTCTGGGTGGAAGAATGAGAGGAGCATGAGGATGAGGAGCTGAGATTCATCCTCCTTTCTGAAACATTTGCCTAATCAATAAGAATCCAAATGTTGAGGCCGCCGCGGCCTATGGTGTACAAAAGGATTGAGTCAACATGGCAGCAAAGGGGCTTGAATGTGCCACATGCTAGAATGCTGTGCGCGGTGCGGTGACGCTTCTCCGGGCTGTTCTATGAGGAGGGGCTCCTCCCAGTCAAATGAACACCTGACGTGTTTTTAAACACTTGGGGTTCCAAACTCCATCCTGCATTAGCCCATGTTCAAACCACTGGTCTGTTTCCACTACCATTGAGATCTCTGCACAAGTTGGAACTTAACCCCCCAAAATTATCCTGCAACTTTCTTGTTCACTTTCCGTCGGAATCCTAAAATTTTAAGGCAGCTATAGTGGCAGCTCGGTCCAACTCCACAACCCGCTTCCGCGGACGGGTCGCGCTCGGTCGTGCACCGTGGCCCCGGGCACGGGTGAGTGGCACGGCGAGGAATTGCTCCGCCTGGCCCATCCGCCCCAGTACCGCTGCACTGTCACCGACATGAGCGACCTGGCGGTGAAACACGCGTCGCCTGAAAACGTCACGTGGTGCCATGTTCGACGATGGGGCGTTTAGTGCTGGCGAAGAAACAGTGATGCTTCCAAAAGGTGTGAAGAAACATAAGAAACCAGGAACGAACAATGACCAACTGGTGGTCCTCTGATGAAGAATCAGCAGTCCCACCTGCAGCTTCTGCTCTGCGTGGTCATGAACCACCACTGTAGCTGTGGTGCCTCCCACGGCCGCCTTCACCAGGCCTTGCCGATCCGCCGTGCGCAGCAGGTCCTGCCGTGAGTTCCGAAGGCCGTTGGGGCTTTGCCAGGCTTTGCCAGCGTCCCTTAAACCATAAGAGGTCACGGGTCTCAACATCTGTACGGTGCTGCAGGCTGCAAGACTTTTTTCTCCCTGATACGCAAACGGATGCGGCATCTGCATGCCTAGACTCTTGAAAAAGTTAGTTGTTTGATGTTATTTGTAGTTGTTACACACGTAACACCAAGATACACCAAGGCGTTCAGTGGACATCTGATTCAAATTGATTAAACATGCATGCAAAAGCATCGCACGAGTCCACTGAGTCCACAGAAGCATGCAGAAGCTTCTCTGCCCTTTTTAGGGTTCACATTCCAAAGACTTGGAATGGAAGACCTCGAATGCAAACACATACTGAAATGCTGCCGAAATACCATGAAATAACGCATCCTTCAGCTCATACAGACTCATACAGTACCCCGATAGGCCCGGACAGTGGCTGTACCAACTTGGCTTCACTGCTTCTTGGTTCACAGCCCACAGCAACACTCATATCATCATAATATGCTCAAGCATACAAATCCAAACGGGTCCAGCGTCCACAAAACACATGCGTTGTTTTGTTTGGATGTTTTGCGTTTGTTTGTTTGGATGCCTTCTCCCCAAAGATCGCTGGTAGATGCTGGTAGTGATTTTCTGCAGGAACATAGGTGTTCTATCGGCATGTATGTAGGACATGTCCTATCGGCGTGTTGATAGCTAGTTGACCTGATAACCCTTCAGGAGACTTCACGTGCCGACAAACCAGGGCAGCTGGCTCCGTCCTGCGTATTCTCAAAGGCATCCACCAAAGCATCTCGGCGTTGCCTAGCAGGCGCACATCTCTTGCATCTCTTGGTTGCTGTGAATCATCGATATCAATATGATGCAAATACTATCAAATACTGATCCAAATGTCTTTTCAGGCTTTTCCATGGCAGGGAGTTCTATCTGATGTTAAAATTGACCACAAAAAGGCTGCTTGGAAGCTCCCTGTTGCCCACAGCGCCTCCGAAAGCGAGGATCTTGCAAAAGTAGGCGCGGCAGGGAGTCCTTCGTCACATCTGCTACGTGATGACCTGGGTGCAGCACGAAGTACGAAGCATCGGAAATGCAACCATCTCCCAACACGGTGCAGAGTTTGCGCAGCGTTTTCAGGGTAGATGGTACAATTACGTCTGAAACATTCTGAAACCATCTGACACCAGATCTCGTCTAGAGACCTGGCAGGCCTGCGGCCCCCCAATGTTGATGTGCCTGGTAAAGATCGATGAGTCGATGAGGGTGGGTTCCACACGTCGTCGATTGCCCGAAGCTCTCGAGCACAAAACTGACACAGGGAGTTAGAATGAGTTATGTATCTCTCCAAATCAGGAACGTGGTGCGGATTCACGAGAAGAATTCATGTCGAGATGACTGGAGATTCAACTTTGGGTGAGAGATGTGCGGCATGCCATGTGGATTTTGAAGCGTTCCGCAACACCGGAACCACCAAACGAATGATTATAAAACGTATGTAAGGATTGAGTGGTAGCTTATGGTAGCTCCATTTACCAACCTCAAAGGGCCCTGTCTTTGAACTGGCACCGGTATAGTGCGGCGGGTTTTGTACCACAATGTCATGCACACGACTACACCAAATTTGTAAGGATGTACAGTTTACAATCACTTTTGGAACATCTTGCTAGGTGGGTGCAAATCCAAACTCAGTAGCTTGCAAAAGAATGTTCATGCCACAAGCAAAGGAAGGTTTTGTCGTATTATATATATATATCCATTTGTAGATTGGGTATGCATTTCACATTTGGTTGCTGCATTTCTGCCAGGCTGTGTTCGGGTGACCAACATGTATCACCAAACCAACGGCAGCAGCTTAAGTCCCAACCTGCGAACAGGCGACTATACCCTCAAAGTTTGCTTTTGACCCATGAGCCATCATCCACATCAGCTCCGCATGGACCATATATGACCAAATGAGCGACCAAATGAACCAACAAAGCGGAAAGGCGTCAGCTTTGTTGAAGGCAACGCCTCATCTCGGCTTGGGGTGAACACCGACAAGAAACCCCAGGACGACGATGCCAGGTGGCCACTCAAGCCGTGCCCATCACAAATGGTGTAGACGGAGAAGTCGCCATTGACATGCACAATGGACCAGTTGTCCTACATTGTGTTTTTAATTGTTTTTACATCGCTCACGCGAAATGATCTCCTGGTTGGTACATTGTGGAGACCCTGACCATTGCCGTGAGTCACAAAATCATTTCGAGACGGACTCGATCAACTTTGACCTTGGAAAGATCTGAACAGTACCTTTTTGGGATCTGAGAATTTGGGGTATCTCAAAGGAAACTGCTTGTAGACCAAGCCAGTGGTGGGTGTGACGTGAGCGAGCCTCATCTGGAATCTGGGACAAACATACCTTCAGTCATATTAATCTATATATATGCATACACCGAGAGAGAAAAAGAGAGGGAGAGAAAGACTATAGACTGCGCCATGCTTGTCAACGCATTTGCTCAAGGCGTAGCACTCATATGCACTTGTACATCTTGTACAAAGGGCTCTGCATCAACCTTTTCTCTTGTGTTGTGTTGTGCGAGTTGCTCCCGACAAACAGCTCAGCACTCAGCAGCTCCTGGTTGGGGATCTCCGGTTTGAAGCCCTTGTGGCAACAAAAGCCTCGGCGATACATACTGAAGGCCAGAAAAAGGGCACATCATGACTCATATTGTCCACATCCACCTGCCCTTAATGCACCAAAAAACAACATGGATAAGCCAAAGTTGTACATTGTATGTATATATACATCTGCTCGTTCCAGCACGCAAACCGAGCGGAACTTCATCCCAGTCAAATGTAGCGCTGGTCTGCACATTAGGGGCAACTGAAAGCAAGTGGAAGTCCCCGGCCCCAAAAGCTCCCTTCAAGCATGGTGAGTTGGGATATCAACACGCTTAGGTCTTGGCCTCACCACTCTGAGGAATCCTTTGGCGAAGTGAGGTCGTGTAATTTTTGGATGACGAGGTGGTCTTGAATCGTGCACAAATGTGGCAGCTTTTGTCCACCAAGACTCCGATCGAGTTGGCAGCCAATCGCGCTCCCAAGCGCAATGTCTCAGTGGTGCTGTAAGGATCCTCAGGTGCTCATTCAACTAGATGGTGCAAGATGGTGCGCTCTCGAATTTTTCCGACACGCAGGAGATCCAATCCACTGGTTTCATCATAGCCGTAGTCATGTCGTGCCAATGTCAGATCGTCTCAACATCCAAAACCAGGAGACCTCTGACATAACTATTAAAACTATTATGCACGCTGTGTTCTATATGTCTCCTTGGCACCCCGCTTTCAAAGCCAAGCACTCCACTCCAACAGTTACCCCTTCTAAGGTCCATGGTCCATGGATGTCCATAGTGCATGAACTACTAGTTCGGCACATGCCAGGAACCTGAATGAGCCTGGAAACAAGTAGTTTCAGCTGCCGATTGCGATGTGTGACATGTGGTTCACGCAGATACTCACCCTTAGTCTGAACTTGGAACATGTTGGCACACCGATATCTGCACATGTTGCCCCATGAGCCGATCTACAAGCAAACATCTGTGTGATATGTGTTGCTTTCGTATGTAGCAGCTCGGCCCAACCCCCACTTTGCGTGAGTGAATCGCAACAAGCTCGTGTCAAACGATGAAAACCTTCATAAATACCTTGGACGAAGTGTTTCATCGGGAAACTGGCGCTGGATCAAGTCGTTCAGCTTCGGAGTGCATCCCCAATGGCATTTCTTTGATTTTCTTAGGCATTCCAATCTGCTCGGATTGCGGGTTGCTCGGTGGCACAGCGACAACTCACCAAATGGTTTACCGTAGAGGACCTGTATCCAACTTTGTGGGGTTCTTGGTCATGACAGCTTTTCACCGAAAGCCGTCAACGTCTCATGGTTTTCATTGGAACTCCCGTTTGAACAAAGCTCCGTCGCCCGTCGCCAACATTATTTCCTTTTCAGCATCGCATCTCAAGCATGGCCAAAGCCACGTCTCAAAAGTATTCAATCGCAAATGGTATAGAGCCAGTGGCTGAAGCCATCACCAGGGCTCAGTTGGGCACCCCCAAATCCACAGCACGTGTGATGTGGGCATGCCGTGGTGGCAGTTCACACTGGCATGCCCTTGTCAGAATCCCATCCTGGACACTCTTGAAGGGTGCCAAAGGTCCCATCAGGCTTCTTGCAAAAGCTGTAAGCGCAGTAAGTCATGTCGCATCCAGAAGAGCCCATGGCACAAGTCCAGTCGGCCACGAATTGTGCCTCTTCTTTGCTCGGCTTTCCCCGCGCGAAAGAAGTGAGGTAGACCACAGCCATTTCGGCCATGGTTATGCTCTTGATTTTTTCACGGCGTGCCTCACAGAACTTGTCGGCCTTGGCCTTCATCCCCTCATAGTCGAGCTGCAGGGAGCGATAGTCAGCTTCAAGCCACCCATTGTGATAGCAATAGTTGGCGTCGTACAGCAAAACAGGTGAGCCTGTGGTGTTAATTTGCTTGGCTTGGATCAAGAAATTCTTGTTGTACAAAGCATCCGCGCAAACCTTCTGCATATTCAACTCGCACCAGCCGTTGGTGTTGCCTTTGTTGAAGTCTGCTATAGGTTGCAAAAGGCTCTCAGGATGTTCCAAAACACTGTGGTTGCCGCAGTCCTTGCGTTGCGCATAGTTGCCCACGGGCTTTTGCGGATCCGGGTGCCCGCACATGTTGCAGAACCTGCCATTCATGTCCGTGCTCATAAGGCGCATGAGTTCAAGCAGCGGTATATCTTTCCAAACCTTCTGGCCCATAGCCTTGAGCTCCAAATACTCCGGGACACGTCCGCCCCGCCGCACTTCTGCAGCCTGGGTCTGCAGGAAGGAGCTGCCCTCCGTGCACCCGTCTGAGGGCACGGCGTGTGGAACATCCCTAGTCTCTGCTAGGCTCAAGCTCAAGGCAAGGAGCCACCACATGGAGTTCAACGTGGGCTGGCCTGCGCAGTGGGGTTTCTGCGCGAAGCGGGCCACGTTTTCTGACAAGAAGGCTAGAGCCAAATGGCTACGGAATCGGGTTTCTAGAGCAGATTCTATGAGTATGGCTGGATATGGCTTGAGTGCTCTTTGTGAGGAGCTTTCGGTATTTATACACCCCCATGCGCACCCAAAGGCCCAAATACAGGCCTTTGGCCTGGCTTTTGCTCCAATCCAAGGGACATTCTGCTGGCGAGTCCAGCAGTCATCATCATTCCAGTCGATCTTGTTTCCAGCCAGCATCCCTTTCCTGTTCGAGAGGTCCGGCACACCCCACCAGCGAAGTGAAACCTTTCTGCAGCCTTGAAGAAAAAACTGGTGCTGTAGAGCAGGAACAGTATCTCCATTTGTTTGTATGTTTTTGTTCAGGTTCTAAGCTCTAAGGATGCTGTAGCTTGAACATTGCAGGAGATTTGAGGACTTTTGTGTGTGTGGCTTGGAATAGTGCTCAATCGAGGCAAGTCCTGGCCATGCCCATGTGGTCGTAGGACAACCGCTCCTCAGCTTCAGTGTGGAGTGGATAACCCAGTGAAGGCTAGCTTTGGAGGAGAACCTTTGACATCCTTTGACCCACCTCATCAGCTTGGATGTAGCGTCACCACTGGAGCAGCAACACCAAAAAACAATTCTGGAACCCTTATATCATTTGTTTCATCCCTGAAGCATACGAGCAGCCTGCCTTGTCAACATGAGAGCAAGGAATTAGACGTGGGACTCTGCCTGGTTTGGACAAGAGGATGCTTGTGTGTGTCTCATCACCTACAGTAAGTTCAATTATAGTGTATGTGGGCATCATGGGAGCCATACCTGGTAAAAGGTCCACGCCACCAAGCTGCCATCGGCAGGTAGTTGATGCCAAACTGCATGCCGAAGCCCCAATACAAGGTCTTCCCTGCCAGGACGGCCCCGACGCACCAGCCAGCACTCGACCCTGCCGAGAAGCTCATGGCTCCTCCTTTCAACCTTTGTTCCTAGTAGCGTTCTGGTTCCTAGTAGTAAGGCCAGGAGCCCCTAGTAGCGTCCTTGCTCCTAGTAACTAGTAGCGATGCCCTTTGTTCCTAGCCTTATGTCTTTGCCCGCAAATCATTGAAGCTTGATGCTTTGAGCTGGGTTGAAGTGGAACCTCGAAGTGGATGAATCGACGAAGGGTCGTGAGATTGGATGCAGTAAATTGGCACAAGCGAGAACAAACATGGAAAACATGCTCATAGTCTGCTTGATTTGCCAGGCTGGCCAGTACGAAACCATTTACTCTTTTGGTGGTGTGTGTTTGCTTGAGATTGAGCATAGGCATCATAGGCATAGACCAGGAAAAGTACTCGTGATACCTCCTGATTGATTTCTCTCGACCAGGGAATCCACACAGCACTTGGCTACATAAAACATCATAAAACTAGCAATCTATAGCAATCAAACGGTTTCCGCAACATCAATCCTGGGCACCCCGAAAAAAACACACACACACAAGCTGCCGGCCACTGCCAGCAACCACAAGCTGGGAGTCCATCCAGGCGTCCAGGCTGCCGGTCCTCCCGCCTTGAATCGTCTTCACTCCTGCGTGCTTGGAAGAGGTCCACCGCCCGTCGATTCCCGGCAGGGCATTCTCCGACATGAGAACCATGGAGCGTTCCTGGAAGACTTGGAGATCGAAATCGAAAGCATCCGCCGGTGTGCTGTGTGCATCGTAAATCATGGTAATTATAAACCCAGGACCAAAGCATAACCATACAGGATGGCAAAGCATGGCGAAGCCATTGTGAAAGTCTCCCTGTGTCTGCATGCCAATGGCATCTGGGATCTCAGTCACGAGGCTTAAAATCACGCCCTTAAGAGTCTCCTGGACACCCGACGAAGAAACGCCTCTTCAGCCAAAGTAGCCAGTCATGGGCGTGAACTACAGTTGCTGAGAAAAAGAAGTCGTTGAAGTTGGAGATGGTTGTCACATGTTATCACGCGTTATCACTTTCTCTTGGTTGACCATCTTTTTGATCTCTCGGCAGTCTTTCACAGGATCCGCAAGGTCCCACCAGTGCCTTGCTGAAGCCCTGGGTGGCCAAGACATCCAGCAGGCTCTCAGAGCGCATGTTCTTCAGGAACCTCTGGAGCTACGCTGGACATGCCTGCTGCCCGACCCAAGGAGCCCCAAGCAGCTCAAGGTGCATTAAAGCATTACGTCAGGCACTGCACGATGCAACAATTGCGATGCTTGCATATATTTTGACCGGTCGGCTATTATATAGGCTTGTGCATGACCCTGCTTTGTTTGGGTTATGCCTTAACAGCCTTAACTGCTGTGGCAAGCCTGAAGGCCACTCAAAAAAGGAGATTAACAATTCACTTCCATATAGGTTCTGGGTGGGACTCCTGGGAGTACGCACCAAAACGACAACTGGCACAAGCCTCAAAAGCTCTGTTCTAAAGCAACTTCTTGGCCTGCTTTGCCTGTAAGTGAAGCACATCACGATGAAGTCAGTTTCAGTGAGAGAGAGATATAGAGCATTTCCTTTCGGGGACGCCACCAAAGGATGCTGGGCCCAAATCCTTGCAACCAAAACCCAACCTGATATCCATTGCATCCATGTAGCTTCAATCCTTTGGCATCCACGTCGCACTTCACCTAGGAGCTGTGGAAGCAAGGGTGGCTTGGAATGGTGTACGCTTTGGAACTACATGACCTTAGGAAAAGCTCTGGGGATTGCTGTATAGTCTATTCGTGTAACACTGTAAACATTCTAATCATTGAAGACCATCTCACCCGCCCCGTCCTGCGTGTTGCAGCCAGCCTAGGATCATCTGGGATTGGACAAGGGATGCTGAAGTAAAGGGGCCAAAAATGGCCACAGTCTAACAGGCATGCCACTTCTCCTCCAAGACCAGGCCGCTCTTTTTCCGAAGGTGTCAATGCTTGGCGTGGCCTGCTTGGCAAGGTCAGGCAAGCTGCCTTCGTCTTAGTGTCTTCAGCTGGTTCCCTGAAGAAAAGCGTCAATGATGTCAAATGTACTCAGTACAAGGAGGCTTGATTGCATGGAAAAATCACATTCGTCGCCAGAGTGGGTCTCGAACATATTGTCGCCATGACAAAGAACAGAACTATCAACAAGTATCACCAAATACAGTATCATCAAACTACTGGACGACTTTCTTTCACCCACTCGCTTGTTCAGCTCCAGTGTCGGAAGCACAGGTCGTCTCCGATCCTCCCTTTCAGGAACAAACCGGGCGAACCGGGCGGACGGGGCACAACGGGCCTGGACTGGCGCGCGGTCGACCTAGCCTTAGTCTATAATATAAATATAGTATAGTATACTATTTACTATTGTACTGTAATATATACAATATATGTACATATGTATAGTATATTAAAATAAACATTATATAGTATTGTATAGTATATTGTACATGTATTAGTAATCTGTAGTATCTATATTGCACATGTATTACTTATAGTATAGTATACTAATTCTATAATACTATTGTACACATAATACTATATGAATATGCATATTATAACTATCTATATATATTATACTATTGTAAAATATATTATACTGTAATTACATTGTGACGTAGAGGTGAGAATGAGATTGTAGATGGCGACAGTGACATTGTCTGCTCAAAGGTGTTGAGCTCATCACATATTTCCACCGTTTGAAGTGTAGTCTGCCAGCGTCTGCCGAAGGTGCCGAACATATCGAAGCATTGAGGTACAAAGTGTATGCAGTATACAGTATACATGCTTCGGAGAAACCTTCCTAGTTCTGTGCTCTCCAAATACCACGGGTATATCATTGCATATCACCACCATTTCCAAGTGAATGTTCATGTGCAATCTCTGGGAACCTACTCCTCTACATAGATACATATTAATACCAATAATTCTTTGGAAAGGCGTAAGACAATCATAAGTCACACATCAGTTCTACAAACATGCTATAGCATAACTATATGGGCGCAGGCTGCGGGATCAAACAGCACCAAAGAAAACATGTTGTTAAAGTTCATATGGGTATGATATGGGTATGGGTCCATTGCACATCCACATCTGCCTAACAGTACTCTTGGTTCGGTAAAACCCGTGGTTGGTACTGTAGGTTTGGCTCACTAAGAAAGCTTGGAAGGTCTTTGTCTTAGCATATACATGTACAGGTTGTGAAATGGTGCAAAGAGAAGAAGGCCAAAAGCCTAGGGTTCAGGCAACCAGGAAGTAGCGAAGTCATAACGACAAAGAATACAAAGGATCAAGGATCAAAAGACCCATGTGAACTACTGCCCCCTGCATGTCTGATATGACCCATTGCATCTCGCTCAGGCAGTTTGGAAAGTTATGTAGCCCATTGTAGCCCTTTAAATCCTGCCTGAACCATTCAAGGCATCACGTGTGCGGTACTGCCCTGATTCACTTCACCAAATGTGACCGTGCTGGGTTCGCCACTCCAATTTGGCCCTGGTCTGCACGAACCATCATCTAACACAGTGCGAGCATATGCTGTCAAATAACAGTGCAGCCGCTGCAAGATGGCAAAGGAAGTGTCAAGCCGGAACGGTTTGGGAAATGTGGCTCCAAGGAATGTCAACATGGAAGTCTGCTCGTTCGGGGATACCAATGGATCGAAATGGACAAACTGGCAGGATTCAGCAGTGCTGCAAAAGGATCTTCCAGAGCGTCGGCTCCCCAAACCAAGTGACGCTTCAAGGAACCATGAAGAACACCAAATGAAACCATCCGAATAAAACCGTCTCTCACTTGTCATCGGTCTCTGTCTTCTGGTCATCAAGGTGCCTGCGGCAGGTGATGTGGCCCTACATGGCACTGCAGGTCCTGAGACTTGATCCGTTGGAACTTGCCCACCTGGGAGCTCAGTGGGCTCCCTGAGAAGTCATGCCGTGTTTCAAGTTAGGCTATGCCCTTCAGCTACCCTCCTTCCAATAATCATGGCGTGCATGGAAGTGCCTGGTGGAAGGCTACTTCCTCAACAATCGCAACATGTTCCACTTTGGTGATTCTTGGAGGGAGCGGAAGCCCTGAGCAAGCGAAAACGCCCCTCCATCGGAAGGTCGCCTTGTCCCATCTGCATGCCTCGGCCAAATCAGGTATGCCTAGCCCTGGGAGGTTTTTTGGGAGGCCAGTCCCTTGACTGTTTCCTGGATCACAGCCAGAACATGTTGGCTATATTATAGTAACTTGACAAATGGGTCTCCGAATGGCATGGAAAAATCATGGATGGAACATTTCGCAACCTGTGTCGCACATGCACTCGTGCCAGAAACAATAACGGTAACAGCCGAGCACATGCCAAACTCATGGATGATGAGTGATGGCTTTATGTGGATGGGACTACCATCAGCCTACAGCTGAGACGCCCATGCACAATAGGATGTAGAAACCTGACTGCTACAGTACCCTTCCGTGCATTAAGAAAAAAGGACTAAGCAAGCAGTTGAACACCCCACAATTGCCTGAAATGCTTCTGGTCGCCTTTCCGGACAATTGCCTCCAGTGTAATTTTTGGAGTTCTGATCACACAACCAAGCCAAGATGCCACACCTCTCCAGCCACATGATGGACCTCGAAAAAGGGTCGCTGTATGAGCCATGGAAGTTCTGTAGTATAAACACCGCAGACTGTGCAAAAAGGTCTGGAAGACATCTTTCCACCACATAAGTGCCGGGGAGCAGGTCTGACCGTGAGTGAAATATGCATGTAACCTACATATATGGTATGCATATATATATATATATACACTACACCTATTAGTATATACACACATGGAGTATAGAGTCAAAACACAAGCATCTGGCATAGCCTGACTGAGCCAAGGAGCAACTCCTCCCACACCATGGTAGGAAGTACCACTGATCCCATCTCCATAGCCCACATGGTGGTAGTGATGGATGACGTGCATAACACCCGGGGCATAGTGAGTGTAGCCCGAAGCGCTGTGTCCATCAGTGTCATAGTGATGAACATAGTCGCCGTCCCCATGGTAATCCTAGCTTTCAACCAAAAGTCTAAAAGCTGAAGTGGTGGGACGCTGGAAGGACGCTAGAAAGCAAATCCCCAAATGAGGATTGAGAAGGAAACAATGGCTTGAATCAACAAACTACCAATGCATCAAAATGTGAACAGTAATCTTCGAGCCCCATGTTCATTATTGTTCATTTATATCTCTTAACCCACCCTAAGGTGGCTTCATCATGTTTGACCGCTAAAGGGGTCAGCCTGCAGGGAATCGCAGCATGTCTCCCATGTCCCGATCGAGTCTCCACACTCAAGGAGTGTGAGGGCTGCTGTGCAGCGTTTGCAATTATATTGAGACGACCGCAAAAAACCTTAGTTAATCTAATTACGGTTGTGCCCTTGCTTGATTTGCAGCTTTTGAAGTGGTGGCCAAACAAAGATTAGTCCCGCTACAAGGACAGGAACTTTATATAGTCCTCCTTGCAAGTCGATCTAGTCAGCACCAATTCGGTACTACATAGTGGTGTAAGGTCCAAACAGCACCACAGTCGATCTCGTCGGCCTGCAAGTCAGCCTGCAATTTTTTGGTCACTGATCTTCACCCAAGGCGAATCTTCCCCGACCTTCCTCGTCAGCATCCGGGTTCGATTCCCTCCCGTCTGCCGAGGGGGTCCTCGTGAGTGATGTATGTCTGGTGGCCCAAGTGCTGTGTCACGTGGGTAGTAAATGCCTGCAGCATGCCAACGACACCGAAAACAAACTGCCAAACAGAAGCAATGGTCATCCACAGTCTTCATTTTCCAAAAGATATCAGGGCCAAAGTTGCCAAAGCAAATGTTTTACCCTCAAATTCAATGGTGAGGGGCTAGGGGAACTTGGGCTGACCGACGTCTACCAACTTCAGAGCTAAGGGAACAAGTTCTCCCACACTATCAAGCCTGAGACAAGCTCTCCTTAATGGTCACAAGTGCAATGACATTCTAGCAGCGGTTACTGTACCCAAGTATGCAAGCGAACCGCTAGAAAGACCCGCCTTGGTTTTGCCAGCTCCAGTCCAGGTACCTGGGCACCCCCTTTCCTCAGCAACACGTCAAGCCGATGCATTTAAGATTCAAAGTGCAAACTGGAGGGAGCTGTACCACCGATTAATTAAGAAGATTTGGGTGACGGGATATGTGGAGCAAGCCTGTCTTAGAATAAATTTGAATGTATGACCCACGCAGATACATTAAACCCACGGGTGCCTATTTATTCGCTAAGGCCGAAAGTGCGCCCCAACACGGGAGGCTTAGCCTCACAGTGTCAGCACAAAACCATGCAGTAGCTTGTAGCCTCAATTGTCAAAGTACATGGGACCGCGCTACAATTGCATGTCTAGCACATCGATAAGTACATCGATATTTTTTCCCCACCTGTCAGGTGAGGGTTGTTAGATTCTATGAGATTTTATGTCAGCCCGGCCCCATCTCCTCCTCCTTCTCCTCCTTCTCCTTCTCCTCCTCGTCCTCCGCCGGACCTCAGCCACGACCATCCACGCCCAGTGTTCCCTGCCGGACCTCAACCACGACCATCCGCGCCCAGTGTTCCCCGCCGGAC